GAAACCCCGCCGAAAAAAGAAAAAACGTCCCGGGATGGGTGTCGGGTGTCGGGTGGGGTCCGCCGTGCCTCGGGTTTTTTTTTATTGTTTTCTTTGTTCCCCGGGGCGCCGCGTCATTTCTTGGGCCGCCCCGCCGGTTCTATTTCGTGGGAGGGGGCAGGGCCATCCTTTTTTTTTCCCGTCTGCTGGCGAAAAGGACGGCCAGGCCGCCTCCTCGCGCCGTTCCTTCGTTGGGGGTTTCGGAATTAGGGGAAAATGGGTTTTATTTTCGGCTTTGCGGTCCGGACCTCGCAGGTTTCCGAAAAACCAACCCAAACCAGCGCCCTTCGCTCCGATCGGGAGGCAGGGCGAAAAGGGGCGCCCCGTTGCCCCCATTTTTCCCGCCCCCAAGATGTTTTTGACAAACCGCCGCCGGGAAAATAACACAATAGGTTTTTTAATCCAGGTTGGGGTTCCTGTTCCTTGGGGTTAAAATGCTGGGTTTTCTTTTTGTTTTTTCTGCCCCCATCTGCCGAAGAAGCGCGGCCCGGCCGGAAAACCGCGCGTGGGAGAAGGGACGGGGGCGGAGGCGCCGTCGTCGTTCGCGTTCGCCCTTTCTTTCGCTGGGTGGGGGTTTCCCCGCCTTTTTTTTTTGTTTTTCTTTCGGGTCTTTCCTTCCGGACTCGCGGCGGGCGTCCCGGTGGCTCTTTGGTCTTCTTCGTATTTTTTTTTTTTTTCGTTGTAACAGGCGCGCCCCGTTCCCGCGAAACACCCTCCCCCCTCTTTTTTTTTCCGCGGCGGCGGTGCGGTCTTCCTGCCTGTGGTCCCCGCTTTTTTTTTTATTCTTTTCGAAGCGGGATGGTGACGTCGGTTTGTCGGGCGTTTGATTTCCAAGTGTTTTTGTTTTTATTGTAATAGGGTGGTGTTGGGGTTCTGTTCTGTTATTTATTTATTTATTTATTTATTTGGATTTCTGTGGTTATTTTAACAATAATAATAATAATAATAATAATAATAATAATAATAATAATAATATTATTATTATTATTATTATTATTAATATTATTATTATTTTTCTTTCTTTTCATTTTGTTGCCGTACAAATTTCTGGAGTCCGCCCTTTTCTTTTTTTCTTTATTTATTAATTTATTTCTGGTATGTTGTTGAATTCTTGTATCTCTTTTATTAAGTGTTTTTTCTTTTTTTTTTTTTGCTCCCTTCTTGGAATATCTGATTTTTTTTTGCTAAAGATGGTTTATTTATATTAATAATTTGTATTTCCTATATCTTTTTTTTTTTGTACACAAAAACACACGCACGTGTCTCTTTTTTTTTACTTCCACATATTAACACAAAAAATATTAAAGAAATGGATGAAGATATTGGATTACAACAGGCCATTTATTCTTCTCTAAAAAGTCAACGCGCAAGTAGTCAACGTTCCATTACTCCACGCGTATCGCAATTTCCGTCTTTTGGTACACCAGTAAATCGTTCTTATCCTTTAACTCGGCCTAGAAACGGTAAACGTAACGCTTTGTTGCGTGAAGGTATTATGCCAACACCCCCACGTTCATTACAAGCTAAAACTGTGGGTACTCTTGGGTTTTCACAGTATCGTCGATCACCTACTCGTGGTGAATGGGTGGGTCCATTGGATGAAGACAGTACTCCAGAAAATACACCTGTGCAACTTCAACAACCAAGTGATCGCGTTCCTGGATGGACACAAATGTGTTCAGGAGGTCGAATTCAAAGGCAAAATACATTGGGTTCAAATTTGGTTTTTATAGGTGCAGAGGTACATAGTGAACAAACCGTAAAAGTTCATTGCACTGATTTATTACTTCTTCGAACTGTTGCTCCTTTACCTCAAACTCAAAATATTGCATGTTTTACAGCACAAGTACAAAATTTGGTATCTCCAGGACATTATGCTATGTTTGGAATGGGAGTAACACCATCTGCTGGAGAAGAAATACGTGGTTTTTCTTTGGTATTAGTTCATTTTGATTCTTCAGGAGCAGTTTTTATTTCTGTTGAACGATGGCGTATAACAGAATATGAAACTTTTGAACGTTTGTCAGGTTTGGAACCAATGAGACCTATTCGTCTTATAAGAGATCGTGTTACACTTACATTGTTGATTACTTCAGAATCTATGAGCCTTTCTCTTAATGGAGAAGTTGTTTTTCCAGTTATTGATGCACCAGGGGTTCACTTGGGTGAATCACATCCAATTCTTCTTTCAACAGGAGGTAAAATTTTGGTTCGAGATATTGCAGTTACTGAAGGTGATAAACCTCCTGTAAATCGATTATATGGTCGATTACAAAATCTTACAGTTTCTCCTAAAAAGAGTGAAACTGCAAAAAGAGGTCAAAAATGTTTGGAAGAAGAAGGTTATTCTTCATTTGGAAGATCTCCTGTAATTGAAAATCGTTTTTCTTCTTCTTCAACAACAAAAGCTTCAAGTAAGAGAAAAAGTATCTCTAAAGAAAAACCAGGAATTTCCATTGATAACAGTCTCCCTTCAAATATAAATATGGAATTTGCTGAACGAATTGAAGCAGAAATAATTGAACATTCTCCAAATGTCCAATGGGAAGATATATCAGGTATTCCAGAAGCTAAACGTTTATTAAAAGAAGCTGTTATTCTTCCACTTTTAGTACCAGAATTATTTACAGGAATTGTTCAACCATGGAAGGGAGTTCTTTTATTTGGACCTCCTGGAACTGGAAAAACTATGCTTGCTCGAGCTGTGGCTACCAGTGCAAAAACAACTTTTTTTAATATGAGTTCATCAACTCTTATCAGCAGATATTTTGGTGAGAGTGAAAAAATGGTTCGAACTTTATTTCAACTTGCACGTCACTATGCCCCTTCAACAGTATTTTTTGATGAAGTGGATGCTCTTATGTCATCACGTGGTGGAAATGAACATGAAGCCAGTAGACGTGTAAAAAGTGAAATGCTTCAGCAAATTGATGGATTATGTGCCGAAAGTGATAAACGAGTTATGGTACTTGCAACTACAAATCGTCCTTGGGATTTGGACGAAGCTATGCGACGTCGTTTGGAGAAACGTATTTATATTCCTTTACCTGATGAAGAAGGACGAATTGATATTTTAAATAAGCAGACTGCTTCCATGACATTGGATTCAGATGTTGATTTAAAGTTAATAGGAACCAAATATACAGAAGGATTTAGTGGAGCTGATATAAATTTGCTGGTTCGTGATGCAGCTATGATGCCTATGCGTCGTTTAATTGCTGATCGATCACCTGCAGAAATTGCCGCAATGAAAGAAAATGGCAAAATGGTTGTATCTGCTGTTACGATGAACGACTTTGAAGAAGCAGTTAAAAAAATACAACCATCAGTTTTGCAAAGTTCACTTAAGGAATTTGAAAAATGGGCAGAGGAACTTGGGTCAGTGTGAATACTTAACAAGTCTTTTTTTTTATTATTCTCTTTGGATATGTATGTGCTAATAGTTGATTTTTTTTTTTTTTTTTTTGCTAGTTTGTTCTATCAAGAAAGGTCATTATTTCCATTTCATCGATCATAGGGAAAAGGTAGTAATAATCTTCTTTTTTTTTGAGTTTTTTTTTTTTGCAGAATTTTTTTTTTGGTGCCAAGCGTTCTTCTACTCTGCCCGTAATATTGTGAATGGAAAGACGGTGGTTTCTCCATCATGGGAACTATTTTTCTATTTCTCTTTTTTTTTTTTTTTATTTACTTTCTCTTCATGGTAGTATTTCCCTTCCCTCTTTTGGAGTCACTTTCTTTTGCTTTTACGCGAAATGTGCCTCTCAAACGCAAATCGTTCTATATGTTACTTTATTTTTTATTTATTTCCATGTGTAATCGGATAGCAACCAGGAAATGATTTCTAAAAAAAAATTTGGAATTTTTTATTTTATTGTATTTTTACTTTTTCTTTCTCCTTCTTTCTCTTTTTTTTTTCCGTTGGAACTTGTGTTTTATTAGAAAAATTTCTTTTTTTATTATTATTGTTTTAGCTTAAAATGGCGAAGGTTATGTTAGGGGTATTTGATGGCTATATGTCACCAGAAAGAAATAATCTTACTTCGGAGACTAAAATTGGCGGTACACCCACATATTTTCCTACTCTTAATGATTCCCAACGAGAAACCATACATAAATGGACTACATGTTCTGTATGTGGTAATCAAATGTTTCTTTTATTGCAAGCATTTAGCCCTTTACCACATGTAAATTCTCCACATCATAGAATGATGTACGTATTCTGTTGTAACTCTGCTGTTTGTACCCGTCAACCGTCAAGCAGTTGGTGTGCTTTTTCTTTACAAATTGATGCTGATGATGAAGAGGCTTTATGTGATGAGGTATCAGATGACGTTATTTATATGAATCCAATGACAGTAGATGAGTTACCACCAAATAACTTTCCACCTTGTTGTATTCTTATTTCCCCTGAACCAAAGGAAGAAATTGTTGTACCAACTGATTTGGAAGCTGAAATGATCAAAGTCGCTGAAGAAAATGCTCGAAATCCTGATATTAGTGAAGCTGACGTAAGAGAATTGGAACAAACTATTGATCTAAAAGATAAACCATCAGATTATGATTATGAAAAGTTTAGAAGAAAAATAGCAAAGGAACCATCACAAGTTCTTCGTTACTATGTACGAGATCAAATATCCAGTCAAGAAAAATCATCCATATCATCTATGGCTTATCCAATTTATATGAATACTCGAAAAGTAAAAGATATGCTTCGTATTCCACCATGTAGTCATTGTGGGGCAGCTTTAATTCATGAATTACAAATTATACCAACTAGTTTGTATTATTTACGTGTTGGTGAATATATTGCGAGAAATAATGCCAATTCTGATGATGGAGTAGATTGTGGTACAGTAACAGTCTTTGTTTGCTCAAAAGATTGTTCAAGAAACTCTTCAGGTATCGTACTGCGGAAAGAATTTATTTTTGTTGAGAAGGCCCCAGAGTTACAAGATGAACTTGATGAGGCGAACGGAAAAAGAGACCTTCGTAGTCTTATCACTGAAGAGTGACAGGATAGGGTCGTTTTGCTATCCTTTTTTTTTTATTCTGTTCTCTGTTCATCTAGAATCGTGTTTACAAATAAGGAGAATAAAAAAAAAAAAAAAAATAAAAGAAAAAGAGGGTTGACTATTCACGTTTAACAATTTAATTGTTTATTTTATTTTCTTTTTGATTTCTGGTATAGAATGCTATCATTTTCTTAAAATAATTTCTGCTGTATATTGAAGTATTTTTTTATTTTATTTTTCATCTGGTATTGTATTCTCTTCCTTATTTTTTTTTTCTTTCTTTTTTGTGATTTTCCTTTTAAGGGAATTAAGAAAAGAAAAAAGAAAAACACACTAGTGTTGTCCCACTTTTTTTTTTTCTTCTTCTCATTATCCTCTCCCAGACTTCTGTTCGGGGTTCTCTTAGAGGACTTTATAGAGTAAGGATATATATATATATATATATAAAGAAAAAGGCATTATTTGTGGAAGAAATTCCTTGCCTTTTCAAATGAGTCAGAACCTAAAAGGGGTTAGTAGACCTACTCTCGCTGAAATTCTTGCTGGAAAGCATGTTTCTAATACAGCAGATGAAAGAAGCATTTCTGGAGACTCTCATCGTTCTTATTTGTCTGAACTAAATTCTGCTCAATTGCCACATAGTGACGTAAAGAATAGCGGTAACAATCAATCTAGAAGGGATGGTAAATCTAACAGTAATCCTTTAGAAGTGGAAAAATCAAATCAACAGAAGCTAAATCATTTACAAAAGAGGCAATTAAGGGCTATATTTGACGAAGAGAATGGTGTTAGACGTGATAATATTTTAAACCTATTAGAAAAATTAGGTATACAACCTTTACCTAACAAAACCTTCTTGGAATCCTACTTTAAGGCTACTAATGATTCTCAATCTTCATTGTCTGTGGCTCAGTGGATTTCTCTTGTAGAAGATTTATTTAATTTACAAGAAAATACTGGAGATAATGGTGGAAAAAATAACGGTTCAAACAAAAGTAAAAAAAATAATACCGGAATAAAAAAGGATCATGTGGATTTTCATTCAGAATCTTTTTCAAAATCTCCACTTACAAATACTTTACCTTATGATAATAATCAGGATGAAGTCAAAAGTAATACTGGCTCTGTTTTGCACACTACTATTGGATCAAATCGTACATCTGTTAAAGGAAATGAAATGTGGCTTACTGGAACTGAAGAAATGGATGCTGCACTGATAAAACTATTTATTCATTGTGGGGCTTTAGATCGAAGAGGTAGGGGAATTGAATTATTCCTAGAAGATTTTAGACGTATGGCTGATCTTCGACAAAACACATTACCACCAAGACGAATTGTATGGGAAGCAGCTTCTTCATTAGCTTCTTGGTGTGTCTCAGATCCATCTAGTAGTAATACTCCAACAGGGGATTTGTGTATGACAATTGGACAATTTTTGGCTCTTTTACAAGAAGAAGTTCAAACTATTACAATAAAACTTCGGGAAGGTGATACAAAAAATACTTCTCTTCCTGTAGTTTCTATGGTTCTCGCAGCAATATCTCCAGAACCAATGAAACGTTTATGTGGTACTGAAATTGTTGAATACCTTAGAAATCCTGCAACTGTAAAGTATGTATTAAAGACACTAGAACCTGTGGGTAGATCCTCATCACATGTTACGAATCCAACATCACTTTTTCAAGAAAAACCAAGTATAGCTACGAGACTTTTTTCTACACCTACAAGATCACCTTCATTACCACCTCGACCGAATCCACCTAACCGATCGCAGAATAATTTACCTAATGGTGAGGTTACAAATTCTCATTTAATGTATGGTGAGGGTTCAGGATCTAGTACAGTTGCTATTGAAAAAAAAGGACGTATGGGATCTTCTTCCGTTGGATCTCGTTCTTCTTCAACTTTGCGTAGTGATCGTCAAAAGTCTGAAATTCCACGCTATATGGAACCCAAACCTATGGATGAAATTTCTGCCTCTATTATAGCAAGGTCTAAAGCTAGAAGAGTTATAGATGAACTCCGAAAGAATACTATTCCTATTAACCGTTATGAATGTTTTGCAAGAATTGAATTTGTACAACAAGCATTATTTGATGAAGCTAATCTTGGGAATGACAACAGTAACAGTGATGATGATGAAGATGAGGATGATGTTAATGGAACAAATGTAGGAACTACAAATGGGAGTACTCTTCGCAATCGCAATCGTTATTTACGACGAAAAGTAAACCCCCCAGATGTTAGTGGTCCATTGCTTCCTGGAATGCATAGAATGGGTGGAAGTGGACTTGCACAACCTCGTAAAGCTCGTCAAGAGACATTTGAACGCCTTTATAGATCTCGTTTTGGCTACATGACTAGTAGTAACGGTTTACTAATGCAGCGGTCTGCCTCTTTACCAAATCCAGCGCCTTCTAGATCTCGAAGTGTGACGGATCCCACAACACATACACCTGGGCAATTTACAACCATGAAGAGAGAAACTTCCACTCCAATGTTGCCCAGAGAAGAAGCATCCATACATTATACTTTAGAAAACGCACCACCAGTACCACACGTAACAGTACCATTACCACAGGGGCATCGCCGTATGTCTTCACAAAATATTCGACACGATTCCCGGCCGCACCTCATGTTGGCAGATATTTATCCTACACCATTCCTTGGAGTTTCAAGGGGATCTGATAGACCTTCTTCTCATAACTCCGCCAGCAATATAAGTATAACGGTGAATAGTAACAAGGCGCATTATCAGACATTTAAACGGGGGAGTACTACTGATTCACAAAATAGCAGATCATTTTTACAAAACAGTTCTGCGCAACTGTTTTGATTTACTCTTTCTGTTTCTCTCTTCTCTTTTTGTTCACAACGTATGATTTTTTTTTTTTTGTTCCTTTTTTTTTCAGCTGGAGAAAGCAAAACCATACGTTTACTGTGGTCTGGTAAAAACAAAAAAAAAAAAGATTGGAGCCATATACCTTCATTCCCTACTAAGTGGAGTTGTTCTTTTTGTGCTGGGTACAGCTATTTATACTATATTTAAGATCTACTAGAGAGAGGATCAAATTGATACCTGTTTGATGTGGGATATAACATCAACTGAAAGATGTGTTGTGGTGTTTTTTTTTTTTATTATATATATATTTTTATTTTTATGTTTTTGCTTGTGTATATATATACTTGTGTACATATCTATATAATATATCTATATAATATCCATATATATATATATATTGTATGCATCGGTGCTCACTCATTAAGTGCATCCTTGTGTTGGTATCGATTACCAAAGTAATACTCTTCTCTCAAGAAATTGTAGATGAAAGAAAAAAAGAGAGAGAGAGAAACAGAGAAAAGACCCTCTGGCGTTGGGCAGTATATAATTTTGTATATTTTCTGTTTGACTTCTGATACGGTTTTTTTTTGTTGTTTCATTTTTCTTTTTTTTGATTTTTCTTTTTTTTTCTTTTGTATTGTTTTATGTTTTCTTTTTTTTTTTTTTTTTATCTTTTTTTGCCATTATTTATTTGTGAACGTTGTCACTTTGCATGGTGTCGCACTGT